AGGACATGTACTATCTTAATTTCATGATTTGGGGTTTTGAATTTATTATTAAAGACAATTGTAATTCCAGAAGAGTGACTACATCCTGACTAAACCATTCTCTTATTTCCTAAGTGTTGTCATGCAATTCCCACAAGAACCTTAATAACAAATTCTCAATACTACTTTCCCATTCTACAGATGAAAAAATCAAGATACTATATATCTATGAACTGTGCGAGTTCCTGTCATCTTTAGAAAACAGTTTTCTTGACTCATGCTTCTCATTACAGGAAAGAGGATACATGCTATGATGACTTGGCTCCACCACTGTAGGAAGTCACTAGTTCTTCCTAGCATGGGATTGTCCCACATAACACATGCTGCGTTACATTCTTATTTGTTTCTATCTATTAGGTACAGGGAGGCTATCAAAAGACAATCCAGTAAAATGCTTTGTTCTTTCCTTTCTCAACAGAAGATGGACAAAAATAAAGATGGTGTTGTTACCATTGATGAGTTCATTGAAAGTTGCCAAAAAGTAAGTGATGAAAAGAACTATCCCTTTTGTTAGCATTAGTTACAGTGAGCACAGCCAGTAAGAAGTGAGCAAAATATAAATCTAGTGAATAAGCAGAGCATGATACTGAGGCAAGCTTCTCATGTGAGCACAAGCACATTTATGATAGCATGCCTAACCTGAGGCAAAAATTATACATGCACTCCCTTTGTTTCTGGAAACCTTTGCAGGTTACTCATTACTGACAAATAAAAACATAGATGCCAGGTGGTGTTAGTGCATGCTTTTAATCCCAGCACTTGGGAGGAGAGGCAAGCAAATATATAAGAGTTCAAGGTCAGCCTGGTCTATGGAGAGAGCTCTAGAACAGTCAAGGTAACACAGAGAAACCCTGTCTCGAAAAAAAACAAAACTAAAAAAAACAAAAACATAGATTTAAATGACTGTTTCTGAAGCTAGAGAGGTGGCTCGGTGGTCAAGAGTGCTTGTTGCTCCCCCTAGAGTACCTGGGCTTGGTTTCCAGCACCCACATGGCAGCTCCATTTCTGTAACTCCAGCTCCATGGGATTTGGCACCCTCCTCTGGACTCTGCGGGCACCTGTATGCTTGTGCTCACATGCCTACACACAGTCGTATACACATACAAACATAATGAAAACAGAAACTTTACTCTTCCCAAGACATAGTTCATTTAAAACGTTATGTTTAATTATTGTGTCACTATAGAAAAGAAATCTAATGCCACAAACAATGAAGCTTATATTGGTCTTTGTTGTTTTTTTTTTTATTTGTGTGTGTGTGAGGAAGGAGGGTGCCGTGGCACACATTTGGAGGTTAGAAGACAGCTTGCAAGAGTCGGTTCTTTCCTTTCCCATTGTGAGTTTCAGGGTTCAAGTCCTCAGCAAAGTATCAATGATTTAATTACACAGACAAAAACTAGAATTTTGGCTGAATCCAGTAATTGCCCCCACTTACAAAAATAAAGAGGAAAACAATTCTTAGCAGAAATCTAGTAGTTCCATGCTGCCTGGAAATCTAGACTTAGCACACCTAGAGCGATTCAACACCATGCAAGGATAGAGCCATATTTACAAATAAACACGTTTGCTGGAGGTTTTTTTTTTTCAATTGTTTGATTTCAACTTCCCTGATGCCTGCTTGCTTCTCAACACCTCTGAAAGATTTAAAGTGGTGACATCTCCCCTTGGTGGTGGCATAACTTAGGTTAGGGCAGTGGAAGCATCAGTGACTCATCGCCAGCACACAAGGCTCACTACAGTGTTTACCAACAAGGAAGAAGTGTCGTTCAACAGTTCAGCATGTAACTGTAGCTCATTTCAAAGAAAGGAGCTAAGCTGAACACAGCCACTGTGCAATGGTTTCTCCTGACAAAGCATTTCTCTGGCGCTCAGAAACTATTCAGTTTCGAAGTCATACAGATTTAGCAATAGCTGACAACTAAAGGGGTAAAATGGCCATATGTGTGTTGATTATTCTCTGTCCTGGAAATGGATATTTGTACACTTTCTGTGCTTTGACTTGCAATCTACCTAAAATGCCAAAGTTCCCATCTGTTCCATTTGGATGATCTCTTGAAGCTCACCATTCTGGTTCTCTAAAGGAATAAAACTGATGCAATGGATATAACATATATGTGTTCTCCATATATAAATATATAATCTCCATATTTTTTTTTATGGGAAGAATGGGGGGAATTTGTTAATTGACTTACAGAATGCATTCTCAGTAGTTTAAGATTGGCTGTCTCACACTGAAGAGTCTGAGAATCTGTAATTCTTCAGTCTACTAGGCTGCATGTCTACAGTCTCAATCTGGCACTGGAGTCCTAAAAGACTCCTGGAGAGCTACTGACCTTCAATCTATGTGGAAATCCCGAAGAAGCTGATTCTAATACTAGCAAAGAAATACCGTAACAACAGGGTATATCAGCTTGCCAGTAAGAGTGAAAGCAAGCAGCCATAAAGCAAAATTTTCTTCTTCCATGTCCTGATGCTACCCAGATTTAGGGTGGGTCTTCCTGCTTCAAGTAATGTGATCCAGAAAATCCATCACAGGATTGACTGCCCAGCATCTTCTTTCAGTAGATCCCAGGTGTCGTTAACAATCATTAGCCATCACACTCACTGTTTTTGTCCTGACATCATTTGAGAAACACTTGTACCAAGTAAGACTTAAGGGAAATACCTAAAGGCATATTTAAGAAAGCATGAAATGGAGCCTTGTGGTTACTTGTATAACAAGTAAAGAGTATCTACACTGGTCACATGAAGGGCATTAGCCATGCTTAGGGTTACAGCAATACTTTCCATTATAAACATAGCAGATAAAATCCTTCTGTTTCTCCCTTGCAGGATGAGAACATAATGCGCTCCATGCAGCTCTTTGAAAACGTGATCTAGCGTGTCAGCACATCCTCCGCTCAAGAGGCAAATGTGAAGCACCCTACACACTTACAAGTTGGAGCCACCACTTCTAGCATAGATTGCTCAGCTTTACACTGAGGCATATTATGCAAACCGCTTTGTTTCAATATAAACCCCCCACACCCAAAGATATAAGTTTTCCAGCTACAAATCTGCATCTTCTCCACAACATCACTGGGGTCATGAAATGTATTGGCTCGTTTCATACTCTGAGAAAAGGCACAGAATCTGGAATAGTTTTGATGCTTAGCCACGGAATACTGAGGCTTTCACAGATCAGTGATTTTTAAAATCCAAGTGGGTTTTCCTACTCGTTTGCATGTATTCAGTCCTGGATTTTAAATGGCTTTGTAAAATATTTACATCTGCATTTAATTTCCAGAAAGCCAACAAACTTTCATTCAATTTGAATCATCTAACAATGAAAAATAAACAAAGATTATTGCAATGAAAATAAAGTCCAAAAACACAGTCCCAATTTCTATGGCTTCTCCACCTGCTGTTAAAGACATTAATATATTTGGCATTTTTTAAGAACATCTAAAAAATTGGTTTATTATAAGATGTTAGCATATACCTAACAAAATTATTTTAGTATTTGTTAATTTTCCATATTAAAGCCAAGGCTCTACATAATCCATGTAACTTTGGACCCATTCTATCTTACATGTAGACTGTTTTGTATTGTGTCATGAAGTAGAAATTCAAAGTGTCAAACAAACCAAGGATGTTTACAGACTTGCAAAGGTTCCAATGTCTGTCCTCCAACACCTAGTGATGCTTATTAGCAAGTAACCCTAACAGCAGTAAGCGGCAACTCTAGCCACCCCCAAACCTCCTAATGTTCTCATAGCATGTTTAGTATAAGCCATTCAGGGACAGAGCATCCTTGACTGCCCCAAAGTCACCAGGAATGAAGATAAAACAAAATAATCTTTGAAACACTGGTGATTCTATCATATTGGAAATAATGCATAAGACTGGATAGAAAATGAATACAAGTATTGAACAGTTCATCTGAATTGCATTATGATTTAGCTCATCATAGAACGTAAAATGATTCAGATTCATTTCAGTGACCTTAAGCCAAAACTGTAGAGTTGCCACAACAGTACTACAGACATACACATCTTCCCTGTTTGTAGAAATATCACAAGTACCAAGAGGATACAGGAGGAGAAAACTTGCGACTGTCTGAAACAATAAATCAGGTATCTATTCTGGTGTAGAGATAGGATGTTGAAAGCTGCCCTGCTATCACCAGTGTAGGAATTAAGAGTAGTACAGTACATGTACACTGAAATCTGCCATCGTGTGTTTGTGTAAACTCAATGTGCACATTTTGTATCTCAAAAGGAAAAATAAAAGCAAAATAAAGTGTTTATTACTCTACTACATCTGCTATAGTCTTTATGTTCTAGCAATTTTTATAATCAATTACTAGATTCTAACTACACTGTCACTATGTAGTTTCCCTGTGGGTAGTGCTACCTACAGAGAAAACTCAAAGCAAGGCTGGGGGTAGGCAGCTGCGGTAGCAGGCATGGTCTGAGACTATGACAAGGTACTATAGATCTGAAGAAAGAGAGGACCCAGGGCCAGGAAGCAAAAGCCCTGGTGGAGGATGGGCGGGTCACTCAGCAATTGCTTGTATCCTTTCAACTTATCTGAAACAAGAATTGCCCAGGAGCCACCCAGCTGTTTGTGGGAGAGAACAAGAAGAGGGATTCATCTATATCTAGTGTTTAGAAGGCGTGGAGTTGCTGCCACAAAGCACAGTGACTGCTTGTCCCCGCGCACTGCTTGTCCCCGCGCTTTCCAAAGCGCCGTTAGGACTTTACTTTGGTGTGGCCATCTACATCCCATCAGCCACTGTCCCTGTCAGTCACACTGAAGGTCTCACCTCCATTGTTCCATTGTTCTTCCTCTACTCCTTCCTTCCTCTTGTACAATCTACTAGAAGTTTCTAGCTCATTAGAAACTCTGGGCTGTATCCATAAATTATGTTTAAAAAAAAAAAGCAAGTAACCAAAACACAGATAAGTACTACAATATCATTGAATTCATCTAAGTTTTAATATTTTAATTTCTGAACATCACAAATTACATCATCAGTATTTTCAGCCTATGAAATGTAAAAATAACATTTACTTAAAGTTTATGTAGTTTTAACAAGTTGTAATAAACAATATACTTGTAATAGAATTTTCACATTTATAACAAGGTTTTTAAATTATAATATTTGGGAAGGAAAAGAGGCTTCCAAGCATTCCACACATTTGCACATCCCAGTTAATAGAGAAGTCACAGATGTTTACTTGCTAATATCTTAAATTCTTTCAGTCTTGATAAATATAAAAAAACAAGAAATAGACAAAACCAACCTATAAAATAAGTGCATAACTACAAAGTGATCTTCAGAATGGCTGTAAGCAAAAATACACTGGAAAATATGTTCATTGATAAGATCTGTAAATTCACACAGATGATCAAGATGAAAAAGCCTCACAGAAGTCAACTTTTTCATGAGTACTTTAATTGCTTTCCATTAGCACCTGTGCTTTTTGTTCACAAACAGCTTGCACAAGTCCTCTGAACTGGACAGGGTCCTCAGGGCATAGTTAATGAATCAGAGTGAACCAAACTCAGGAGAGGCCCACTGCAGTCACCGTCGGGGCCTGAGGAAGCAGCATGGCTTTTGCTGGCTCCCTATTCAACAGCAGATAGAGCAGTATGTTGGGATTTTGGATTTGATGATAATAAGACTTTCCTGACAACAGAAGAAAACACTGTCATTAGAACACAGTTACCCCAGTAGGCATGTGTAATTAAGCAACAATTACAAGTGTTGCTTAAGAAGTATCAAAGACTTAAACAAAAGTAATACCAAGGACACAACCAAATTACAGGAGGAACAGAACCTTTTTCTGAGGGAAATAAAACAGATAACAGGCTGTAAGTATCTAGGAAGTGATGAAGAGTCAGGGTAGTGTTTAAATGTGCTCTTCCTGCACTACACTAGCACCCTGGGGTAAATCACTTCTCTGTACCCAATACCCTGACTTAACAGAGGATGCCAGCAAATCTACCTTGCAGTAGATCCTGGAGACCAATGAGTGGAGTGCTCATGGGGACTCAGCAAGGACTTCTCACAGTCCTCACATACTCTAGAAGAAATTTCCCTTTCCTGAGACAGATAAGCATGCTACCGAGAACAAAAACTGAATCAAAATTTGGAAAAATGTTTCATTTTAAGACTGGTAAATAGTAATTATAAGAAAATGTCTCTGTGCTATAACAAATGTTTCCATTTCCCCCATCAGTTGGGCCTTCACAATATTATAACCTATAAAAGTAAAAGAAACAGGAAACCCCTACAATAAGAATTCTTGGATTTTTAATTTTTTAGATTTCAATTTTTTTTTTTTTTTGGTTTTTCGAGACAAGGTTTCTCTGTGGCTTTGGAGGCTGTCCTGGAACTCACTCTGTAGACCAGGCTGGCCTCGAACTCACAGAGATCCGCCTGCCTCTGCCTCCCGAGTGCTGGGATTAAAGGCGTGTGCCACCAACGCCCGGCTAGATTTCAATTATTTTTACTTAATGTGTATGGATGTTTCGTCTGAATATATGTCCATATACCACATATGTGGAGTGACCAGAGTCCAGAAGTGAGCATTGCATCTTCTGTGGTTGTGAGCTACCATGAGAATGCTGGGAATGGCCCCTGGGTACCTGAGGAGAACAGGCAGTATTCTTAACCAATGGGTCCTCTCTCCAGTCCCAAGAACTTTCTTTAAAGACTCATAACTACTGAAGAAATTTAATATATGTTTTTAAGTACTTAATAAAGAAAGACAGAATTCCTTATATTCATGAAGTATAGCACAATAGCTCCAAAATGCAAGACTAATCAAGGCAGAAGAAAGGCACGGGTGTTAATTCTAATACAAAGCTTTTTAAAAAAAAGATTTTTAAATGCATAGATTTTATGTGTATGAGTGTTCTGTCTTTGGTGTAGATCTCTGAACCACTTGCATGCTGGTGCCCAAGGAGACCATCAAGAGAATGTCCCTTGGAAGTGGAGGAACAGGTGGATGTGAATCACCATGAAGGTGCAGAGAACTTGCTGCAAAAGCAACAGGTGCTCTTAACTGCTGAGCCATCTCTCTCGACCCCAGTAAACTTTCTTTTTCAATGACAGAAATTATTACTAAAATATAATGTAGGGCACACAAGGAACAGTAAAGAAGACTGAGGAATATTTAATATTCCTTGTAACCACAAACTTTTTCTTTTTAAATTCAGTATTACAATATCCAAAGCTAATAAGACTGAGTAATACCAAAAGGAGCCCTCTCTCTAGGACCTTGGGTTGGCTAACTACAAGTTCTGCAGGCAAGTTCCAAGTAATAATGTTAGGCTTCTGAAAGACATCTATATGGTAAGTTCCCCAATCAAACACACAGACATCCACAAATGTCAGATGATAGTCCTTTCCCTTTTTGCTTGATCCAGTCCCAAAAGAGGTCTCCCTGAGGCAGACAACCACTAGGGAGAGTTACAGTTTAAAATTCACCATCTGTTCATTTGCATTCCACAAGGGAGGAAAGGGCAATATATCTGGGATTCAGATTCTAAGATTATCAAGTACATTTGCAATAAATACTTCATCAGAAATGAAGACACTGGTCTGGCTAGGGGCTAGTTCTGCACATGTCCTCAGTGTCTGAACACCATTTTCCTACCTAGAATTCAAACATAACAAACAAATGCATTTTCTAACAGCTCTTTTCAGGCTTAGTGCCTCTGCATAAACTTTAAGTGTTTATCACAATGCATATGTAGATAGATAGATAGATAGATAGATATAGATATAGATATAGATATAGATATTTAGCAGAATTAGCTGATTAAGGCATGGCCAGCAAAACATTGTATACAATCATATACATTTTCTTCTAATTAATTATTTATAAAATCTGGACAATGAACTTTCTACATTGTTAGGTTAACTAGCTGAATACTTCTCAAATTATGAAAATGCAGTTAATTTTGCCAACATGTAGTAATGAACTCTCCATATTCCTGCCCTTAAAAGGTTGGAGGAAAAAAAATCAGATCAACTTTTGAAGAATGTGTATGTGCTACGCTAATGTGGAAGTGGCATTTCCACGCACAGGGAGATTCTAAAAGTCAGAGGAAGAAAGCAAGGCAGAGAAAGGGACTGGAGAACTGGGAGTATCGGGAGTACGTGTAGAGAGCTCAGGAAGTACCTGAGTTCACAAACGGGTCAGCAATTCATCTCTAATACAGCCACGTACAGAAGTAAATAAATACACAATTTTCCAAAAGCATTTTTGGGGATTGGACTAAGTCATTCTTTGACCTTATCACAGGTCAAAACAAAACATGTAAACAGATAGATTAAAGAGAAAAACTAAGAGTACACTTCCAAGACCTCCACGGAAGTACACAGGCCTTTATTTACCCAACCTGCTTCTGCAAAAGTTGTCTTAAAAAATATACCACCCCAACAAAGCAGAAAATCTTAGTCTGGAAGATGAAAAACCAACGTTTTCACAGCTGTCCTTGCAGCTGTAATGAGTGAATAACACGCTAACCACATACTGATCCTCCGAACAAGACGGAAAGCAGAATGTACAGAAACAACGCATGGTTACAGGTACAGCATCTACTCACACTCCCGCCGTGCTGCTCCAGCTTTTGCAAGGCACTGGTGATGGGTTCTTTTAATTTTTTGTCCATTAGCCTCTTGGAAAGCTATTAAAGATTGGGGAAAAGGGAATTCCAAAATAAACAAAAAAGTTTGCAATAACCACAAATAACTTTTGAGGATGTTTTAAGAATACAAAGTTTCTTTCAGTAAACGTTTCACTAAAATTTACTTATAACAATATAACATTTGGTTAAAAGTTGAATTTATGACATTTCAAGCACTACCTGTCCTGCAATATCTGCTATAATAATGTGTTCTCTGGGACTGAGGAAATGAGTGACTTCAATTCCCAATACCCACATATAAATTTGGGCTTGATGGCTTATGTTTATAATTCTAGCACTGGGAAGGCAGAAAAGAAGTGGATCTTTGGAATTTACTGCCTGGACAATGTAGCCTAATTGGCTAGCTCCGGTTAAATGGGAGACCCATCTTAAAGGAGGTTGACAATATTTCTGAAGACAATACCTGAGATGGTTCTCCACATTCCACATGTATGCATAGAAGCACACATAGAGATACACACATGTACTCTAACAAAAAATAAGTTTTCAAAAGCATGGCATACTTTCCCATTTTGATACATGCAAGACCATGCAGAGAACTGACAGAAAGCCATATATCTATCTAAAACACATGTTACCCAACAATAAAAGGGGAATAGTTAAAAAGTAACAGTGACTGAGAGAAATTAGATGAGAAGCCACAAGACCAGTTATCTGTGAATACATCCTCAATAGCTAGAAACATAGGATTTTGTTGAAAAAGGAAAGCATGGATGCAGGAAGACAGAACCATAGGCACTAGCAAAAAAGCAGTGCTATGAAGGTAGTTGGGAACAACTGTACCAGTATTCCCATAAAATGCGTGCATTTTCACAGACAACGACCTAGACATTTCAGATAAAGCAAGCCATGCTCTCAGGTAAACATTTTGGAAACATATTCAACATAGGTTGAATGGAATGATACTGAGCACATTATTATAAACCTAAAGTCAGCTTTGTAAGCTTAGAACATATTAGAGAATAGTTCTAATTTCCATTAGAAAATATTACAGAAACGGTCTACTACTAAGTTATTCTGTGACCTACTTAGTCTAGTCTACACTTGTTGGTTAGGGTAAAAAATAACACTGGCTGTCAAAATGACTGGATAGAGAAGTGTTCAGATAAATAAAACAAGCCTTTGGTTTGCCGTCAGGGGATGCTTTTTCTAGATAGAGTAAGTTCATGAGGCTCTACCCAAGGAGTGGACTTATCCTTAGTGGATTCTTCCTGCAATGGTGTTATTGAGACAGGGTGAGAGGGGAGGTGCGGCATAGCTGGAGAGAAAGGTTACTGAAGCCCTGAGCCCCTCCTACATGGTCACCCATATTTCATGTCCACTATGAACTTAAATGTTCCATGCTACCATACCCTTCCTGCCAAGAAGGGCTGATACCTGTGAAACTTGGAGAGCAAACACACATTTGCTATGGCTAGGTTGTTTCTGACAGGTGTGTTATTCCAATGACAAGAAAGGTCTCCTTGAGGATGTGAGATAAGCTGCCAGTGCCCTCCTTGGAGACACCTGAGTTCTGAGGACTGTTCACTGGGGATCCCATCCCGGTGGTCCAGTCCACCCAAGGACTGCCAGGGTCCTAGTCCCTTTCTCCACCCACAGGACAGGGTAAGTTTGGCCTGTTTCCAGCCGACCTTCCAGAGTCCCACTCCAAGCTGCCTGAGGCCTGGGGATTGTGCGCTTGGGATCTCATCCCTGCAGTCCAGCCCAACCAGAGACTGCCAAGGCCCAGTACTAAGACAGCCTCCACCCATGGGAAGAGGAGAGCCACTGGAGTACTGGACCTGCTTGCACACACCAGAAGAGAACCTTGGACCTGTGCCCACCAGGACAGGAAGAGACTCCTCCTGCACCCACTGGAAGAAGGGATCATAAGAAGACAATATAAAAACACATTCAACAACAGAAAACGAATATGATGACACCACCAGAGGCTAGAGACTCTACACCAGCAAAACCAGAACATCCCAATGCAGATGAAACAGAAGAGAAACACCTTAAAAACAACTTCATGAAAATGATAGAGGCACGCAAAGGGGATACGAGAAAATCCCTTAAAGAAATGAAAGAAACAACAAACCAAAAAACGCAAGAAATCAACATATCACTTAAAGAAAGCACCGAAAGCCAAGAAAAAAAAAACAATCAAACAGATGAATGAAACAGTTAAAAAACTGAAGTAGAGACAAAAAAAAAAAAACACAAACTGAGGAAATGCTAGAAATAGAAAAGCTGCATAAATTAGGAACTACAGATGCAAGCATAACCAACAGAATACAAGAGATGGGAGAGAAAAATCTCAGGCACTGAAGGTACGCGAGGAGAAATATATCCATGGATCAAAGAAAATTCTTTTTTTTTTTTTATTCAAATTAGAAACAAGCTTGTTTTAGGTGTCAATCCCAGTTCCCTCTCCCTCACCTCCTCCCATGCCACCAACTAACCCCCTATCCCATCATCTTTCTGCTACCCAGGGAGGATGAGGCCTTCCATGGAGGATCTCCAAAGTCTGTCATGTCAATTAGAACAGGGTAGATGCCCTTCTCCATGTGTCTAGGCTGAGAGAGTATCCCTCTATGTGGAATGGGCTCTCAAAGTCCATTCGTGTACTAGGGATAAATACTGATCCACTACCAGAGGTCGCACAGATTGCCCAGGCCTCCTAACTGACACCCACATTCAGGGGGTCTGAATCAGACCTATGCTTGTTTACCAACTATCAGTCTGTGATCCATGAGTAACCCATTGTTCAGGTCAGCTGTTTCTGTGGGCTTCTCCAGCCTGGTTTTGACCCCTTTGCTCATCACTCCTTTTTCCCTCTCAGTAACTGGATTCCAGGAGTTCAGTTCAATGTTTAGCTGTGGGTGTCTGCTTCTGCCTCCATCAGCTACTGGATGAAGGTTCTAGGCAGTCATCAATCACATTATCGGGAAAGGTCATTTAAGGTAGCCTCTCCACTATTGCTTAGATTGTTAGTTGGTATCATCCTTGTAGATCTCTGGACATATCCCTAGTGCCAGATTTCTCTTTAAACCTATAATGACTCTCTCCGTTATGGTATCTCTTATCTTGCTTGCCTCTATTCTTCCCTGGACACAAACTTCCAGCACTCTCATGTCCTCCTCTCCCCTCCTCTTTTTCCCTTCTCTTTCTCCTAGCTCACGCTCCGCTCCCCCCATGCTCCCAATTTGCTCAGGAGATCCAAAGAAAATCTTAAGTCCAACAAATCCCTAAAACACAATATCTAGGAAATATGTGACACAGTGAAAAGACCAAACCTATCAATAATAAATATAGGAGGTGAAGAAACCCACCTCAAAGGTGCAGAAAATATATTCAACAAAATCATAGAAGAAAACTTTCCAAACATAAAGAAAGACATGTCAATGAAAGTACAAGAAGCTTACACAATACAAAATAGAATAGACCACAAAAAAAGTCCCCTCACCACATAATAATCAAAACCCCAAACACACAGAATAAAGAAAGAATATTAAGAGCAGTTAAGAAAAAAGGCCAACTAACATACAAAGGCAAACCTATCAGAATTACACCTGACTACTCCATGGAAACTCTGAAAGTCAGAAGGGCCTAGATAGATATTCTACCAAAACTAGGAGACCATGGGTGCCAGTCCAGACTAATATACCCAGCAAAGCTTTCAATCAATATAGATGGAGAAAACAAGATATTTTACTACAAAACTAGATTTAAACAATAAATATCCACTAATCCAGTCCTACAGAAAGTTCTGGAAAGAAAACTCCAACCCAAGGAAGTTAACTACAACCAGAAAAACATAGGCAATAGATAATACCACTTTACTTACAGCCAAAAGAAAAAGGGGTGGAAACTCACACAAAATTCTACCACCAACAGCCTTTCAAAATCAAAGAAGAATGAGCAATCAATAGTCATTAATATCCCTCAATATTAATGGTCTTAACTCACCCATAAAAAGACACAGGCTAACAGAATGGATTTGAAGACAGAACCCATCCTTCTGCTGCATACAAGAAACACACCTCAACGTCAAAGGCAAGATGGTGTCTCAGAGTTAAGAGTTGAGAAAATATTTTCGAATAAAATGGACCCAAGAAATAAGCAGGGATAGCGATCCTAATGTCTAACAAGTTAGACTTTAAACTAAAACTAATCAAAAGGGATAAAGGAGATCATTTCATACTCATCACAGGATAAATCCAGGAAATCTCAGTTCTGAACATCTATGCTCCAAATGCAAAGGCATCCACACTGGTAAAAGAAAGGCTACTAAAACTCAAATCACACATAAAACCCCCCTTATAGTGGGAGACTTCAACATCCCACTCTCACCAATAGACAGGACCACCAGACAGAAACTTGAAAAAGAAACAAAGGAACTAATAGAACATATAACCCAATTGGGTTTAACAGACATCTATAGAATACTCCATCCAAAGACAAAAGGATATACCTTCTCTCAGCACCACATGGAACCTTCTCAAAAATCAGCCACATACTTGGCAAAATAGTAAACCTCAACAGGTACAACAAAATTAGAATAACCCCCGTATCTTATCAGACCACCATGCTTTAAAGTTAGAATTCAACAACAACACAAATTGCAGAAAACCTACCAATGCATGGAAATTGAACAATGTGCAATTGCACCATTCCTGGGTCAAGGAAAAAAGAAATTAAAGACTTCCTACAATTCAATGAGAATGAAGACATAACTTATCCAAATGACATTGAAAGCAGTGCTAAAAGGAAAGTTCATAGCACTAAGTACCCACATGAAGAAACTGGAGAATAGTCACACTAGAGAATTAACAGCACAACTGAAAGCTCTAGAACAAAAAGAAGTGAACTTGTGCCCCAGGAGTAGATGACAGGAAATAATAAAATTGAGAGCTAAAATCAATAAAGTAGAAACTAGGAAAACAATACATAGAATCATTCTAACAAAGAGGTGGTTCATTAAGAAAATCAACACGATAGACAAACATTTATCCAAACATACCTAGTGGGGAAGAGAGTGAACATGCAAATTAACAAAATCAGAAATGAAAAGGGACACATAACCATGGACACTGAAGAAATCAAGAGAATTATCAGGTCATACTTTGAAAACATATACTCCTCAAAATTCGAAAATTTAAAGGAAATCACTTACCAAAATTAAATCAAGAGCAGATAAGCAATCTAAACAGATCTATAACCCCTAATTAAATAGAAGCAGTCATCAAAAGTCTCCCAACCAAAAAAAGCCCAGGGTCAGATGGCTTCAGTGCAGAACTCTACCAGAAATTCTCCTCAAAGCAGTCCACAAAATAGACACAGAAGGGTCATTGCCAAACTCTTTTTATGAGGCATCAATAACCTTAGTACACAAGCCACACAAAGACACAACTAAGAAAGAGAACTTCAGACCAATCTCCCTCATGAACACTGATGCAAAAATACTCAGTAAAATAATGACAAATTAAATCCAAGAACACATCAGAAAAATCATCCACCATGATCAAGTAGGCTTCATCCCAGGAATATAAGGATAGTTCCACATACAAAATTTCATCAATGTAATCCACCATATAAACAAATTGAGAAAGAAAAATCACATGGTCATCTCACTAGATGCTGAAAAGGCCTTGACAAAATCCAACACCCTTTATTATTAAAGATCCTGGAGAGATCAGGGATAACAGGAACATAAACATAAAGAAATCAATATACAGCAAACCAACAGCCAATATCAAACTAAATGGAGAGAAACTCAACACAATTCCTCTAAAATCAGAAACAAGACAAGGTTGCCCACTCTCTCCATATCTCTTCAATATTGTACTTGAAGTTCTACCTAGAGCAATAAGACAACAAAAGAAGATCAAGGAGATAGAAATTGGAAAAGAAGTCAAACTTTCCCTATTTGTAGATATGATAGTTTACATAATTGACCAGAAAAACTCTACCAGGGAACGCTTACAGCTGATAAGCACCTTCAGCAAAGAGGTAGAATACAAGATTAACTCAAAAAAATCAGTAGCCCTACTATATACAGAAGATAAATGGACTGAGAAAGAAATCAGAGAAACATCACCCTTTACAATTGCCACAAACAACATAAAACACCTTGTGGTAACGCTAACCAAACAAGTGAAAGACCTGTATCGCAAGAACTTTGTGTAAAGAAAGAAATTAAAGAAGACACCAGAAAATGGAAAGATTTCCCATGCTCTTGGATAGGTTAGGATCAATGTAGTAAAAATGGCAATCTTGCCAAAAGCAATCTGCAGATTCAACTCAATCCCCATTAAAATCCCAGCACAATTCTTCACAGACCTTGAAAGAAAAATTCTCAACTTTATATGGAAAAACAAAACACCCAGGATAGCCAATACAACCCTGTACAATAAAGAAAAGTCCAGAGGCACCACCATCCCTGACTTCAAGCTCTATTATAGAGCTATAGTTCTAAAACCAGCTTGGTATTGGAACATAAATATACAGGGAGACAAATAGAATTGAATTGAAAACCATGATATGGACCCACACACCTAGGAACACCTGATTTTGACAAAGAAGCTAAAATTATACAATGGAAAAAAGGAAAGCATTTTCAACAAATGGTGCTGACATAACTGGATGCTGGCTTGTAAAAGACTGCAGATAGATCCCTATCTATCACCATGCACAAGACTTATGCCCAAATGGATCAAGGACCTCACCATAAATACAGCCACAGTGAACCTCTTAGAAGAGAAGGTAGGTGGTATCCTTGAACTAATTGGTACAGGGGACTGCTTCCTGAAAATAACACTAGCAGCATAGTCATGGAGATCGACAATTAATAAATGGGACCTCCTGAAACTGAGAAGCTTTTGTAAGGCAAAGGACACAGTCAACAAGACAAAAAAATGGCAGCCCACACAATGGGAAAAGATATTCACCAACCCCACATCTGACAGAGGGTTGATCTCCAAAATTTACAAAGAACTCAAGAAGCAAGTCTCCAAAACACCAAATAATCCAATTAAAAATTGGGGTACAGAACTAGATAGAGAATTCTCAATAGAGGAACCTCAAATGGCTGAAAGACACATAAGAAAGTGCTCAACATCCTTAGTCTTCAGGGAAATTCAAATCAAAATAACTCTGAGATACCATCTTACTCCTGTCAGAATGGCTAAATACAAAAACACCAATGACAGTTTATGCTGGAGGGAATGTGGAGGAAGGAGAACACCCCTCCACTGCTGGTGGGAGTGCAAACTTGTACAACCACTTTGGAAATCAGTATGGTGGTTCCTCAGGAAAATTGGAATCAGTCTTCCACAAGATCCAGCAATTCTACTCTTAGACATATACCCAAAACATGAACATTCATACAACAAGGACATCTGTTCAACCATGTTCATAGCAGCAATATTTCTAATAGCCATAACCTGGAAGCCACCTAGATGCTCCTCAATTGACGAATGGATGGAGAAAATGTGGTACATTTATTTACACAATGGAGTACTACTCAATAGAAAAAAAACCAATGGAATCTTGAAATTCACAGGCAAATGGATGGAAGTAGAAGAAACCATCCTGAGTGCAGTAACTCTGTCACAAAAAGACAACATGGAATGTACTCATTCATATATGGATTTTAGACATAGAACAAATGATTACTAGCCTACAATTTGCACAATCAGAGATGCTAGGAAACAAGGAGGAACCCTAAGAGAGACATATGTGGTCCCCAAGAGAAGGGGAAAGAGACAAGATCTTCTGAGCAAATTGGGAGCATGGGGGTGGGAGGAGGGAATTAGGAGAAAGAGAAGGGGAGAAAAGGAAGACATGAGAAAGCAAGAAGATTGAGTCAGGGGAAGAATAGAGGAGAGCAAGAAAAGAGATATGATAATAGAGGAAACCATTATTGGTTCAAATAGAAATCTGGCACTAGGAAAACGTCCAGATATCTACAAGGTTGACCCTAACTAACAACCTAAGCAACAGTAGAGAGGCGATCTTAAAAGCCCTTCTCTGATATTGAGATTGATAACTACCTTATATGCCATCGTAGAGCCCTCATCCAGTAACTGATAGAAGGAAAAGCAGATACCCACAGATAACCACTGACCTGAACTCTGAAATTCAGTTGCAGAGAGGGAGGAGTGAGGAGCAAAGAGGTCAAGACCAGGCTGGAGAACCCCACAGATGACTTGAACAATGGGGAGCTCATGGACCCCAGACTGATAGCTAGGAAACCAGCAATAGGATTGACCCAGACCCCCCCGAGCGAGGATGTCAGGTTAGAAGCCTGATTAATCTATGGGGCCTCTAGTAGTGGATCAGTATTTATCCCTAGTACACGAATGGACTTGGGAGCCCACTCCACATAAGGGATACTCTCTCAGCCTAGACACACAGGGGTGGGTCTAGACCCTGCTCCAAATGCTGACAGACTTTAAATACCACCCCCATGGAATGCCTTACCCTCCCTGGGGAGCTGAAAGGGGATAGGACAGGGAGTTAGTGGGGGGCATGGGAGGAGGGAAGGGAGCAGGAACTGGGATTGATATGTAAAGTAAGCTTGTTTCTAACTTTAAAAAAAAAAGGAAAAAAAAACAAAAAAAAGGATATGAGCTAGACTAGTAGTTGATCTGAAGACTGAAGTTATGAGGACATATGCACAGCTATGTCCTCTGCGCAGTACTCACACTTGTAAGCAGAAGTTTCAGATGGCTGTTCAGAGATGGACCAACCACCACACTTAGCTGTACCAGTGCGCTCAGTCCTCTTTCAAAGACTTCATCATCAGGATGGACCTGTGGGGCCAGGAAACAGGAAGAATTAAAAACAACACAACCCTTTGAGAGAGACTCTGCGTTCTTTCATTTGGAACATTTTTGCTGCCCTTTGGGGAACACTGGTGCACTTGCATCTGAATGAGACTTGTTCCTTGACCTCAAGAGGGAAAAAAGGGCAAAGCACTAATTTGCATGTAATGTGGGGGAGGGGAGGAGCAAACAGTCTTCTCTTGGACCAGAGTGTTCATCTGTATCGTGTGATTGGGAATAATGAAGTCCAGTGAAATAAATGACTTACCAGAGCTGCCTTCAGTACAGGAATGAGTCTGGGTAGTAACGGTACAGCTTTTTCAGGAGCACCCTGAACCTGAAGTAATTCCCTAAAGCCCTCCTTGGACACAAAGGTATAAGGGTGCTTCGTCTCCCTCAGACCCTGCCAAAGACACACAGGAACATGATTCAGTAGCTACCTTTTGATTATATTAACAACCACAAAACTCCATGCTCCTAACATAAGTGAAACCAGAAATTTGCTTAATGTCTTTCTAATCACAATGAGTAATTTCAGCAAATATTTTTTTGAATTATACCAAGAGCTCATGTAACAAAATATATACAGAACTCTACCATCCCATGGAATGAGAAAAGAAAGACAAGAAAGGGAAAATCAACAGAGTAACTAAAAGGGAAGAAAAAACTAAAGGATTAAAAGAGAAAACAAGGACAGATAAGCAGGGGAGAGGAGGAGGGAAAGGAAAAGCTGATGAGAAGAAAAGGAAGTCATCAAACACTGAGACCACTGCTTCCGAGGACCCCTGAAGGACAGTAAGGTGACCCCGTGCGTTCCATACTGAACCCTCAATGTGCTCAGTGATTCCTGCAAGGGCTCTCCTTCACATTTAAGTACGTTATGACATTTAGAAGGGAAAACCTGCACCGGCTGGGACAGTGTCAGAACTTAAATCTGTCCTTCACAGTGGGGCACAATTGGAAAACACAATCTGTGCACAGCACTGGTCACAGTGGGTGTCTTTCCTCCCAAGTGCTCTAGAAAACAATGGCCTGCACTCATGATTTACCAGCTACTGCTAGAGGTCAAAAAATGACCAAACAAAGCAAAGAGAAAAGCAACAGCAACACCTTTGGATCTATCTGTGGAGTAGGTTTAAATAACCAGCTACAAAGTCATGTCACAAAGCCAATTTCCAATATTTTGTCAATGTGACCTGAATATCTGCTTCCAAACAGTGGTCAAATGTCCCCTTCCCACTGTCCTACCATGTTTTCTACAACAAAATCACCAACATGGCAAATCATTCTCTAACATGTTCAGTGCCTGTGCTAACAGTTCTGGATCTTACTCATTTTCAAAATGGAGACTAGAAAGTCAAGCTGAAATGGATCCCAACAGTGATCTGCCTATACTCCTTCCCCATTACTAAGTGAGTAGAAGAAAAAAAGGAAACTGAGCCAGGCAGTGGTTGTGCACACCTTTAATTGCAGCACTCAAGAGGCACAGGCAGGTGGAACTGTGTGAGTTCAAGGCCAGCCTGGTCTACATAGCTACACAGAGAAACCCTGTCTCAAAAAAAAAAAAACTTAGAAAAAATGGAAACTGTTACCCAGTACAGAAATACATGTACTGGTGTTGGACCACAAGTATACATATAGGACTGATCTTGGCCTCTGAGATAGCTTGGGAGGTAAAGGCAATTCCAAAAGCTTGATGTCCAAGTTAGAACCCTGATCCCATATGGCTTAAGAGGAGAACCAACTCCAAGAAGGTGTCCTCTGACTATTCCCACTCCATGGCACAACCACGCATACACACTCATGTAACAAACAATAGCTTTAGAAGGACTTATATGAGTTGTAAAGACAGAGCCCTTAAATGACTTCACAAATCAAAGTATTTTGTGCACCCTAATTATTTGGACTATGCAATGTATCACTAGCTTTGATTAGTCTAAGTAAACTAAGTATGATATACTATCCATTTCATTTAGCTATAAATCCCTGTTAGAACTTGATTTTTATCAGACTTGTCAAGCCATTAATATTATATAAATAAATATCTGTGTATGTGTGTATGTCTGTGTGTATAAAACGTCTTATCACACACACATACAGATACAAAACAATCAATTACTTGCTTAGTGTCCAATATTTTAGTGCCTCTTGCTTGATACTTATTTTAAAAGTATAGAGTGAGATGTATTTATAAACTACAAAAGAACAATGAAATTTTAAAAATATCTTTTCTATTAGCACTCAGGAGAGCTAGAATGTTTTACCTCAGCTAAAGTAATTAGAAGCGGGTCAAATGGAAGAATTTCAGGCGGGCATTCCCACTGTAATCTGTGTTTTACTGAGCCATGTACCAATCTAAAATACAAAAGTCAGAAACTGTAACGGAACCCCACAAACATTTATAGGCAGGGAGCTTATAACACAATAATATTCTTGCCAAAACACAGTCCCGCTGGAATTATTTTGTGATATATAGGAGTACCAGACTCATAAGGACATGGGCAAGTAAAGCAAGTAAAAAACTCCTTCATATTCTCACATTGTCCATAAAATCAGTAGTAAGCTTGTATCATAAAACTTTTTATTTATTTTAAGCAAGTCACTTTCTCAGAATCTTGATATGCATGCTGCACTGATCTCTCGCAGACACTTACAAAGTAGTAACCTATATAAGATGAAGATATGTAGTAATTAGAAAAGGTAAGGTTTACAGTGACATTTTCCTAGCCTAACACTGATAACACTAATAATCTGAAGGCAAATCTGTTTTACTCCTTGTTAAATAGAAAAAACTGCAGCCAGGAAGATGAAATGGTCCCTTTTGAGGTTACGAGCAGTCCTGAGTTAAGTCCTCTCACTAGCCCCCAAAGCCATTCCTGAACCATAACTGGTAAGTTTACAATACATCACTGCTGTCATGACTGTGAAGCACTGGTCATTCCCAAACATCTTGGTTTCCCTCAGCTCTCTGGCCTGACTTCTTCACTGTTACATTCACAACAAGAGGCCTCACTCAGCAAGGTATCACTTTTTACACGGTCAGCAAGTCTCAGTTACTCTAGGGAAAAGCAGTCAAGAAGCTCAAGAAGTAAATAAAACAAAGCTTCAGACTCAATGTGTGAGAGACAGCGTTTATGGAGTGTTGGGGGATAGAACTCAGGGCTTTAAAATGGTAGGAAGCACTCTACCAACTGAGCTTCATCTCTAACTCTTCAAATTAGAATCTAAGGAAGAAATAGTAATAAATTCCAGAATGCTTCTTTAGCTTGTTTTTCACTCCAAATTTGAAGATACCATTAAAAATGTATTTTTGAAATTTCAAAAACAAGCATAAAAGTTGATGTTGTAATTATCCCTTCTATACTAAAAAAAAAATCTACCATGTAGAACAGAATAAAAAAGAACATTCTATGAAAAAAGGTATCAGGAATTTATCCAAAAAGAAGCAAAAATAGTCATATATACTTACTAAGAAATAATATTTCACTGAGCTGCCAGTGTTTATATTAGAAACAAGGTAAGGCTTTCTTATTTGAAGATTGCCTATGAATGCTTAAATTAGTTGTACCCAAAGTGGTACACTCAGTTCAATTTAATTTCTGAAATTGTTTGGTGTTTTACTACAGATCTTAAAAATTACATATTGGTGTTGAGGTGTTTTATATCCATGGATCAATACCAATTCAAGAGTCGAGGTAATAAGTTACCTTGATTTAAATCTCACTAGTGAATACATTTTCAACAAATTTAAACTGAATAATATATTGATTCCATTCAATTATTCTGAAGCACACAGTCAGCTATGCACTGTATTGATTGTACCTGCAAGGAATGCCTCCTTTCGAGTAGACAGCTGCAAATGCAGAAGGGGCTCGGGACTGCTCCCCAAACTGAAATCAAAACACAAAAACATCACCACTAACTCCATTTACTATACCTTCAGTTTTAATCCTGTTGAGATCAGAGGCAAAAAAAAAACCCCTGATTTTCAAAACCCCCACTGTGTTACTTTGTACACACTGTTACTTAAGCACATGACTGTTAAAAACAAAACAGAAGGAGTAACAACAAGAAAACACACACAGACACAACCAAGATGTGGAGTTATATTTCTTCAACGTTTGGGTCTAAGCTTTGCAGGTGACTGCAACCATACACAGAGTAAAATGTCTTTCCACTTTGTCAGTCTGAATCTTCAAGGTGCGGGCTGAATAAAGAATTTAGGAATTCAGTACAGGGGAAGTAGAGATTTGCTACCAATTATTGTATACCCCGCCCCATGTCCATAGGCCAAGCACAGATGTATAGAAACCAGAGAATCTATTTAACTTCTTTAAATTGGCTTTATGCTTCTATGCAACAAGGGATTAGGCTTGGTAGAGTCAAAGATCAGAAACAGGTCGTACAAACATATCTGAATGCATCTTCTAGGTTACAGAAGTGGTGCTAAGGACACAGGGAGTATACTGACTTTTAGCCAGCACTGTATATCCTGCAAGTCCTTCAGCCAAGTACAGCCATGTAGAGATGAGAGAATCTGTGTAACTTCTCCAAACTGGCTTTCTGCTTCTACTATGTTATGATCACTAGTGGACTGAATTTGTAGAACATAAAGGAACAGTTAAGAGTTTTATGTGAATATCGAAGCACATGAATTATCAATTCCATAACAACTGCAAGCTAGTTAACTGACATTAAGAAGCAGGATAGAAAATTTAAAAGCTGACATACAATTCAGAACATAACAGATTCACATAACTAGCTCAAAACTAGCAAAAAAAAAATCCATGAGAGCATTCAGAATAAACTGAATTTAGAACATTCAGAATTAATTGTTAATCAGTTAAAGTGTAATCAGATAAATGCCTCTTCTTTGTGAAAATGTACTTCCCGAGGAATCTGTACTCACAGGGTTAATTGTTTTGGGGTTGAGTTTATCACTTGGCCGAGGATGAACCCTTCTTGCAGCCTCTGGAGAACTGGTTAATGAGGAGGATTTGCTCCGCTGAACTGTAGTCCTGTGTTTTATTTGTGCACTTGAGGATGTCCTTTGATCATAATTACCTACAGGGGGAGTCAGATGAGGACAAAAGGCAAGTATGCAACAGAAATCTGGCCCTGTATCCACACAGAACATGGATGGAAGGTATCATTAACAAGTTGACCTCTCCCTTTGAAAAAGCAAAGCTCTGTACCTGTTGCTCTGTTTCTCAACTGCAGACCTCCATGGTACTCGGATTTATGCATGTCTTCCCTTTCACCCTGCAGTTAAATGAAACAATTTCAGAATCTGTTGATCTGCCATAAACACAGACCAAAATGAAGAGTTATATATAAATGTGGGTGTGGAGGCCCAAGGTTGCCATTTTTTCAAAAGCTCTCCACCTTATATAATGAGACAGGGTCTTTCACTGAGCCCAGAGCTAATGTGGCTAGTGAGCTTGTGCTAGAGATTTTCCGTCTGTGTCTCACAAGTGCTGAGATTACAGACAAGCCAACACAAACAGCAAAGTTCTCAGAGGATTCTGGGTGATGAGATTCCTTACCAGCTGAGCCATCTACTTTATCTTTTATTTAAATGAGTTCAAAAGCCAATCAACCCCTTCATTGGAAAAACTGTTAAAGTCTAGAAAATAGAGCTTCCAAGGCGTTTAATTATTCAATGTCATTGTGCCATGCATGTGTCCACATATGCCTGTGAATATGTGAAAGTAGGTGTGTCCATGAAGGTCAGAGGTTGACGTCCGGTATCTCCTGCTATTGCTCTCCACCATTTTGTGAACCAGGCTCTCTCGCTGAACCTGGAGCATATAGAGTCTACTAGACTGGATCTTTTCAAAATAATAGTTGTTTGCTTGATTTTTAGACAGGATCTCATTATATAGTCCTGGGCGGCCTGGAGCTTGCTATGTAGACCAGGTTGTTCTTGAACTTAGAAACCTGCCTGCCTATCTTTCTGGCAAAAATAATGATTTTTAAAGTTTTTTAAAAACTCATTTATTCTTCTCTCACATAATACATCCCAATTGTGGTCTCCTCTCCCTCCCCTCCTCCCAGTTCCAACCCCTCCGCCTCATCCAGATCTCCTCCAGATCCACTGTTCCTATTTCCCTTCTGAAGAGATCAGGCCTCCCAGGGATAGCAACCAAACATGGAATAATAAGATGCAATAAGACTAGGCACAAACTCTCATATCAGGGCTGCAAGAGGCAACCCAGTAGGAAGAAAAGAGTCCTAAGAGCAGGCAAAAGAGTCAGAGACACCACCACACCCACTCTTTGGAGTCCCACAAAAACCTAAAGGTAAACAACCACAGTTAATATTTCTAGAACCATTCAGGCTCTGTGATTGTCACTTCAGGCTCTGTGAGCCCTTAGGAGCCCTGCTTAGTTGATTCTGTGATGTTCTCCTGATGCCCTCCACCCCTCTGGCTCCTATAATCCTTTCTCCCCCTCTTTGTTAGGTTTCTAGAGCGCCACCTAATGTTTGGTTGTGGATCTCTGTATCACTCCCATCAGCTGCTGGAGGAAGCCTTAGTGATGACGACATGGCTAGGCAGAGATGGCTCAGAGGTTAATAACACTGGCTGCTTTTCCAGGGGCCTTGAGTTCAATTCCCAGCAATCACATGGTGGCTCATAACCTTGTATAATGGAATTCAATCCCCTTCCTCTGGCATGCAGAGTTTATGTATATGACACAGAAAGTTTGTGCATGTGATAGAGAACTCAATTCATAACATGTGTAAATAAATATTTTTAAAATAACTATTTTTAATTGTTACAGGTGTCACTCTTTATTTAAAAGACAAAGTAAATATGCTTGGCTTAAAAAAAAATCCACATGGGAGAGTAACACTGACAAGCACAGGCTCACATTGTCTTTGAAAGGAAAACACTTCCATCACCTTTAGAGTACTTTTTCTTTAAATGATTTTAGGCAGGTAGTGTAATGAGGCAGTGACAAGAAGAAATAAAGAGGTGAAATGCATTGTTATAAACACTATCTAGGAAACCCCTCGTTTCGATCTTAGAATTCTAAGTAGAGATCAGAATACAGAAATCCACTAGATGTGGAATGCTAGATTATGTCACAATGTCAGAAGGAAAAACAACAAACACGATACAAATACCCCAAGGTTTCGTTGGGCCTCTGCCTAAAAGGGGCTGGTGGCACCCGTATATGGTAGGAAACCACACCATCTCTGTTTTACAAATACCAAATTCCAGTACCCACCTCCCCCAGCTTAAGACTACTGAACTAATCATCCGTCATCTTTCCTCTACTCTCTAACTAGAAACCTAGAAAGTTCCAAAAAGTTCAAAAGGCGCTCAGTTAAAGCTGCGTTCCCTTTGTCATCATAAGGCAAAATCTGCTCTCCGTCTTTCGAACATTCTGTCACCAAATCCACCCACTTTTTCAGGCACCTAAATTCAATTAAGCTCCGGGGTGTTGTTAAAGTTGAAAATGAGGAAGTGTGCAGACACTGCTAAAGGGAAAAGATTTGAAAACGGGGAGACTGAGTGAGCGAGCTCCAGTTAGAACACTCTACGCCAAGTTCCCAGAGCGCCTCTAGTGGCCCTAGCAACAAGCTCCGGCGGCTTAGCTACGGGACGCCAAACTGAGTGGCTCTCACGCCGAGACCCCGCCCTGTCGCCCACGCCTACCGCCTGTCCCGCCGCTCCCAGCGCTCACCGCCGCCCCAAATGGGGTTAGAGTCCAGCCCTCGGCGCCAAAAGCCAGTGTCTCCCGCGGTGGGCCGTCTTGATCCAGGAAACCCGCTTCGAGTAGCACACACATCCGGCTCCGAGCATTGACGTCATATACGCGACGCCCGCTCTAAGCCAATCATAGGGAGAACATAGACGTGTTGGGGGCGGGGCGAGTTGCCGGGCAACGAGTGTGCCGTCTAAGGGGTATTGTTCAGGAGGAGGTGCGGTAACAGTCAAAGGTGACAAAGGAGAGACCCTGGGAGACCTTAAAGGAAGTTAAATTTTAGTTTCCAGAGAAACTACACTGATTCTTTCTAGTTCTCCAGTCCGTCCTCTCTCCATCTATGTGCTTACCTCGTAGCTTCTCAGGAACGTTTACTGTGATCCAAGACTAGTGCTGACAGCCATGAGTTGCTTTTAGCTGCCTGTCAGGCTAATTCCTTCCCTGTCATACAGTAGGATTGCATAGGCTGTTTCATTCAACTGCAGAATACTTCCCTAAATGGGTAGCTACAAACATATACTTTTGTGTTTCGGGTTACTCTCATGAAATTGGGGGGGAGAGAGAGAGAGGGAGGGAGGGAGGGAGGGAGGGAGGGAGGGGAGGGGAGAGGGAGGGGAAGGGGGGAGGGGGAGGGAAGGGAGGAGGGAGATATATATATATATATATATCACTCCCGACAAAATGTTTACCCTCTGGGTGATGATCTGAGAAGGGATTCTGGACATAGGATTAGTTCACAGTGGCAGGACTACCATCCATATGATTTGTGCACATAAAATAGAGGCCTGGAAGAGACTACTCTCCTTTCCTGCCATGTAAGAATGCTCTAAACTGGCACCATCTGTGAACCAGAAAGGAAGTCCTTATCCAGCACAGAATCTATTGGATAGTGCCTGAATTTTAGACTTTTTAGCTTAATAATTAGAAAAAATGATGAGAGAGAAATCTTCCATTTATAAACTCCCCAGTTTGTGGTACCTTTTCAATAACAATTGAACATGCTGAGACACTTTCTATATGGCCATTCCAGGCCTAAAAATAAAAACCTCAAAGACTACTTATTCTGGATTATTGCATTATGTGGGTCTCCTATGACTTTAAAAATAAGATCTCTCAAAATTACCCTGCTGTAGTATGTTGAAACACATCATATGACATTAAAAATTGGATAATGAAAGTATGCTATGTTAAATACACAGGATCATATTTTTCTTACTATATTGAATCATTTGTGGTTTGCCTGTTGGGTTTATTATCAGGCATTTTTAAAGAAAGCCTTACAAAAAAGCAAGCAAACAATAATTCTGTTCTCGTATAAATTGCAGACAAAGCAATCATCTCCCCTAACTATTCCCAAAGCCCAGCTTTGGGAAATGAGATGCAAGATGACTTCCACTTTTCCTTGTATGAAGCATTTAGATACCATAATCATAAATTAAAAGTAAATCTGTATTTCTAAACAGTTTTATCTATGATAGAACGACTAGCTAACAGGAAGTTGTAGGGAGGAGTCAGGTGGAGAAGAGTTTATAAGGAAGGTTAAGAAAATGCTCCAGGACCTCTTGGGAGATTCGAAGAGTTAAGCTAGGTGAGTTGCTTGCTAACCAGCCCATCTGGGAAGCAATTTCTACCTCAACCTTTGAATCTTGAGTTCTTTAGTGGGACAGAGAGTTAAATGAGTTTCTTTAGTAGCTTTGTAAAGAGTTAGTGTCTGAAGGAACAGAATTTCCTCAGGCTTCTGCTCTGTTGGCCTAGCCACTGATCATAGTGGAGGGGTGGCAGTTTCTAAATAGGACAGCCATAGTTTAAAAGGACAAAGTGAGTTGAGCGCCAGTATTCATGGTCTCTCTGCTTCCGGACTATGAAATACGATCATTTGACACACACTCCTACTATCCTGTCTTTCATGAGCCAAAATAAACCCTTCCTTGTTACATTTGTCAGGTGTTTTGTCATAACTAATTAATATAAATGATAAGAAGTTCAGATTGTATGCCCATAAAAACAAGAAGTGACCACTCTCTAGAAGAATGAGGGGCAACAGGTGAAGATCACTTAAGTAGACTTAGGGCAAAAACTGTCAACAGAGTTGGTTGACTTACTTTACTGAATGACATGGGAAAACTCCCTGGTGCTCTGGAAGAAGTCTATAGGATTATTCTCTAATGGAAGCATGATAGATGTTGTGTGACACTAAGCACCGCTGAAAATATTGCTGCCATCCCGAGAGGAGGGGAATCTGAGACCACTGGGCCTCATGCCTAGTCTTTAGTTCTGACAGCAATGGTCAGGTCAGTTGTCCCCAAATGGGATCAGCAGCAGCTCTCCACATGAAAGCTGATCAAAATATCCAGTAACTGGTGTTACAGTGAAATCCAATGCTAAGAAGCCTCCTCCTTATGTTTTCAGTGCTCCCAACCATTTTCACTCTTGATTGCTAACAAACCCAAAAGCTTTACTCCTTGGGGCTGGAGAGATAGATCAGTGGTTAAGAGCATTGGTTGCTCTTTCAGAGGTCCTGTGTTCATTTCCCAGCAAGCACTGTAATGAGATCTGGCATCCCCTTCTGACCTGCAGGCATACATGCAGACAGAACACTGTATACATAATAAATAAAATTCTTTAAAAAAAAAAAACTTTGCTCCTCTTCCTCTTGTTTCTCACTGGCTGGAGTCCTGAACTGTGTAAGTAGTAATGGTAGCTGAGAGGAAGTCTGCATCCATCACTTCCTGCCTCTTAATTGTGGATGTGATCAGCTGTCTTAAGCTTCTGCCACCCAACATTCAGCAATAGTGGACTTTAAACATGAGTCAGAATAAACTATTTTTCCCATAAGTTGCTTTGGCTAGAGGATTTTATCACAACATCTTCAAAATATCTTGTTGGTATCTTCCAGAGTACTTTGGGAAGAAATACTCTAAACTGGGGATCCTAGTTTACAGGATTTAGGTATGACAGACCCAGTTAATTAAGTTAACTAAGACAGTAAATAATCCAGTATTCTTGAATAATACACAGATATTATGAAAACTAGATGAGAAATGAATATTTTAATCTTGAATGATAATATGACCTGTGAGAGAAAATAAAATTGTAAAGCATTGTGTGTGGTCTATTAGTAAACTAAAGAAAATGAAACTATGATCTACTGTGTGTGTATTTGTGCATTGTGCATGTGTAAATGTGCATGTGTGTAGAGGTACAATATATTTCAATATTTGTAACCAACTACTTCTGTCCATCTACCATTCTCTATCTACCTATGTATCTATATAATAATCTACATAAACATGGAAAAACATATAGGCTAAATCATCTTCACCAAAAGTGTAATATGGCATGTGTAAAGGAAAAAATATTCAGGACAAGTCTTGAAAATATTCCTAATTTGAGTAACTTTCTGTCGTAAATGAGTACACTAGAGAAAATTATGTGTGAAGAAATGCAATAAGTACTTGGAAAAGTCTCAATCTAATTCTATAGATTCTCATAGACAACTATGGAGAAAATAAGTGAAACATAATTCAAATTGTTTTATAGATACTAGTCATATGTTAAAAAATAATACCTATCTTGCACACTTTAAGTTTTAGAGTTTGAAAATGTTCTTCCAATAGTATAGACCCTTTATCTTAAAGCTGAGGGCAATGTAACCCAGAAATTACTAGCAATTAATTCAAGATAAATAATGGAGCTCACGTGAAAGACCAAGACAGAAACAAGGTATTGCATATTTATTTCTAACTAACCATTACAAACAATTAGAAATAAATTTGTAATACCAAACCCAGAAACTTTACATGCATAAACCATCATAAAAAGAAACCTAGTGGCATATAAAGTGCAGTGTCAACTACATGATCTAAATAGTTGCAAAAATGCTGTTAGGTTTTAATTAAATATATATATACATACATACATGCATACATACATATATACATATATTAGTAGCCTGACAAAAATAAACTAGTGGCATAAAATGGTAATGACTTGTTGGTCCCCACAAATTTGTTCCTCAAGATTTGGGTTGGCCTTAGTGGTGCTATCCTTGTCCACAGGACATCAGCTGAGTTTTTTCACTTGACTGCATTAGATTCAAAGCTGGTTGCCTGGGTGCTATTCCATGTGTCATATCACATGCTGGGTTTGGGGCTTCTCACAGCATGGTGCTCCTGGGATAGTAAATCTTCTGACATGGTGACTGACTTCCAAGAAAAAATTTTCACAAAGGATATCCATCAATGTCTTAAATCTCTTAACAAGTCTCTAGCTTTTTTTCTAGCATTATACTGAGAAAAGTGAGTCATATCTCAAGTTCAGAATCACAAATGCAGGACGTTTACAGCACCATTGTTCAGTACAACACATGTGACTGTGAAACAATACTTTTTATGAAACAGAAATTGTAAATGGTATGACTTTATGTTGACTATTAAGTAACCAGGTATACCTAAATGAATAAGTGTATCCACCTTGGGTATTTCAGTTTGTGAACAGAAAGACTATGGTCGAAAGGCCAAAACTGTTCAACTACTTCTTTGCCTATAGCCCATAAACCAAGTGAAGATGCTTCATAAGATAATGAGAAGATGCTGGACCCTTGTGATGCTTGCCTTTAATCATAGCACTTGGCAGACAGAGGCAGGCACATCTAACTTTGAGGTCAGTTTGGTCTACAGAGTGAGTCTACAGGACAACCAGAGCTACAGGGAAATAGATACCCAGTCTCAAAAAAAAAAGAAATAAACCCCCCCAAAAGATAATTAGAAGAAAAATATATATGAAAAATTACCAATTCACATTTCAGTGGCAATAAAATTAAGATGTGGTAATGTGTGTGTATGTATGTATGTATGTATGTATGTATGTATACTCTGTGGGAAGCAATGGTCAGTAACCTAGCCTACAGTCCCCAATTATTCAATAAAATACTAATCTGTCTGTTTCAACGAGAGTGATATGTATAAAAAATAAAGAAGGGGTGTTAAGGACAAAGAATAGATTTTTTACAACTGTTAAAATTAGTCTATGTTCAGATTTTTCTAAATCATCTGATTGTATTTCATTCATTCATTAAAGACACTGGAAAAATGGAAATTTTTCTGAAGAAA